GGCATGGGGGAGGCGCTGAGGGGCCGCCGGGGGGGCGTGGAGGCCGCCGACGGTAAACCAATGAGGGACGGCAAGGGAGGGGCGGCGGCTGCCGGGGGGGCGGCAAGGTGGGGGGACGCGAAGGCCACCGACTGTAAACCAATCGCCCCAATTATTCCTTCCGTCACGAGATTCAAACGATCCAGGAAGGGCAGGCAGCAATCAGGGGCACAGGGTTTCAGGAGCTTCGCGATGAGAAGGAACGGCGAGCAGATCCCCAATACCACACTTATGAGCAGGAGCAACACCACGAACAGTGGGGTGCCGACCACTACCGCTATGCACAGCGCACTCGCCTTCAGGAAAGAAGCCAAGCAGCGGCTGATGGGCGAGGAGCCGTTCTGGCAAGGAGCAACCGGCGACTCATTCAGCGCGGTAACCGGGGGCAGGCGTCGAGGACCAATCGGCGGCTCATTCAGCGGGGCAACCAGGGGGAGGGGAAGGTTGTCAGAGCGGAAAGAAAACGTGGACACTTTGGCGCGTCTCAAATCGAGACCCACCACCCCTTCTTTGCCGACAATGCACAGGCTCGTAGCGCCCTCTCCGTGCACTGTGAAGTCTCCGGCAGCTACCATCGCGCCAGCTTGGATTTTCCGCAGCACTTCTGCTCTGCCACCGAAGGCCACCGTAGCACCCGCCTCCCTTGCGGCGACGATGGTGCAGTTCTTGCCTCTACGGAGGCCCACCACAACTCGGAAGTGGCGCTTCCAGCCAGGAAGAGAGACAAGCCGCCCCAATACTTCGTCCACGTTGAGAATCTTGACGGTCTCGACAGACCCCTTGAACAGGACAGCGTTGCGTTCTGTGAACTTGAACTCGAGAGAGGCCGCGACATCGCCATCCAACACCTGAAGGTCGGCCGTGCCCTCCCCGGCAGTCCTGACGTTGACGGTCACGCTGGAGCGGAAATCCTCGAAGGCCTCACGGCTGACTCCGCTTTCCCTGATGATGTCACTCAGGGCAGGGTCTAAGTCACGGATGTTCCCATGTGACACAAACACGCCGTTCTCAATGACGCCCCAGTTCCCGAGGACGAAGTGGTTGCTGATGGGCTCCCAGGCGGCGTAATATTTCAGGTGCTCGTGCAGCACCCGATTGAATTCCCTTGGCAATCCCATGCGAATGAATCAGGAAGCCACAGTGAGAGCTGTTGAAAGTGCGGACGCCCACAGCCTCAGGGAAGGCTGGCAGCCATGGCAGATGAACGCCTGAGGCACAAGAGTGAAGGGAATCCCGAGCGACGTCGCGCACTTGGATCGCTAGTAGATCGTAGTTACTGGCTGGTGCCTCAGACTCCTTCGTGCATCACTTAATCTCTCGCTTGTCTGGCGGTGGTTAACTTGTGAAGCTCTTTGATTTGGTTGGCGCTGGTGAACTCGTGAAGCTGTCTGACTTTAAGAGACTATGAGCCCACTAGCTGCAGATAGCCAACAAGCACTCAGCTGAGACATGAACGGTGCGGATGATGAGAGATCTCAACATGGGGAGCCTCCACACGATGATGAGGGTCAAGGAGACATGGACAGCGATACCAGCGGTGGTGGCGGAAACCCAGATCAGTGCAAGGAAGCACCACCCGGAGGGCATCACCCCGCCGGTCCCGAAGTCGAGCCGCCAAGCGGCGAGATGGACGGATCTGGCGCGGAGGGAGGTCACTTCGGTGATGTACACATGGCGGACGCAGCAGCGGCTGCTCATGGCCAAGTCACGTCGGCTAACGACGAGCGCATGTCTGTCTCGTCCGACAAGTCGAAGCGGAGCAAGGGCAAGAAGCGGAAGCGCGATAAGGACAAGCAGCCTGTCCTGAAGCGCAAGAAGCTCGACCTAATCCCACTGAAGCAGCCGGATGACAGGGACAATAAGAACCCCTACCTGACCTTCAACTGGCATGCCGAGAAGTGCATGGAGCTCGCCAAGGTTGACTACCTGCTCAACGCGAGGAAGCGGGAAGCCATGAAGGAGCTCAACCCTGAACAGTACGAGAAGGACAGCCAACATCTCTACGCGTACTGCTAAAGGCGGTCTCGTCTAACGACAGGGGGTTCGAGGGCAATCGTTCGAGGGCAATCCTGAGGCGTTGGCGGTGCTGCAGCAGGCAGACGGCGCTGCGGACGGCGTGGTGGCGTGGGAGGCCCTCAGGGCCACCTACCAGCCAGATCGGCCGAGGCACCACGCGTCGGCATTCAGCAAGCTGGTGTCCTTCTGCTGGCAGCAGGACTGGACGCTCGAGCAGGCGATTGCGGTCTTCAACATATATGTGACAGACTGCAATGCGCTGGCTGACGTCCTGGACATCGCACCCCTGGCGGACGTGCAGAAGGCGGAATTCTTCTTCAAGGGACTCCCTGAAGCCTTCACAGGGACAAGTGGAGTGCCTGCCCGAAGGGCAGGCGTGTCCGTAAAACAGTAAAGGGGAAATCCGGGAAACTGGAAGGGATTGCCATAAATCGTTTTCTTTTTTCCCTCCTTTGTTCAGCTGCCGAACGACATGTGGATGGCATCAGAAGCGAGAGCATACTGTCTAGTTTTGCTTAACCAAAACAGCTCTCGCATACGCTGCCTACACGCATCGGAATTCCAGGTGGAAAAAACCCCGGTCGGAGAATTCATATAGGGGAATGATAAAGGGGAAGCTCGCGGAGGATATCCGCTTGAAGCCGTCATTCAGGGAGCTGCTCACGATGTGCCGTCAGAGGAACGACATGCTGAAGCAGCGTCCCTCTGTCGCACAGGGCAGCCAGGCTGCTGGCCAGCTGGAGGAGATGATGCTGTGCTCTGCCCAGAAGGTGACCGTCAGTAAGACCAAGGGCAAGAAAGGACACGGGAAGCCACCGAACAGCCAGCAGACCATCAAGCGGGCATCAGCAACAAGAAGAAGCCCCACAAGGGCTCCGAGGGTGCCAAGGGTGGTGGCAAGGGTGCCGGCAAGGGTGGTAAGACTGGGAAAGGAAAGGTGCGGGCGTGCTTCGCGTGCGGCAGTCCTGACCGCCTCATCGCCGATTGCCTAAAGCTGGAGCAGCTAAAGGTACGGATACATGGTGATGAAGAGAAGAAAGGGAAGGAGAGTGGGTGCTTTTCTTAACGCAATTGAGTGAATGCACACTGCGCAAGCACGTTTGGACTGGGAGTTGGTGGTGTATACAATGAATGTCTCTAGGGGTTACGGGTTTAGTATGCGCAGTTGTGCGCACACAGACATTCATCATATATACACACTCTCCAAGCACACCTGGAGACATTCATTATATATACACACTCCAAGTCCAAACGTGAATGCGCAGGTGTGCGTACAGACATTCATCATATACACACACTCCAAGTCCAAACGTGAATGCGCAGGTGTGCGCACAGAGACATTCATCATCACCTGCGCACAGAGACATTCATCATAAACACATACTCCAAGTTTAAACGTGCATGCGCAGGTGTGCGCACAGAGACATTCATCATATACACATATACTCCAAGTCGACGCGTGCATATATATACATACACTTCAAGTCGACGCGTGCATGCGCAGGTGTGCGTACATAGACATTCATCATGTACACATGCACTCCAAGTCGACGCGTTCATGCGCAGGTGTGCGCACAGAGACATTGATCATAAACACACACTCCAAGTCGACGCGTTCATGCGCAGGTGTGCGCGCAGAGAATCGTCAAGTCGAGAATCGCGAAGGCAAGACAGCCTTTACATTGACGAAAAAACTCGAATCATCCAGCCATTCTAACCCGGCAGTCACAAATGAATGCACACCATGCAGCACATTCATGCAAGGATTTGAGGACGACGGAGCACCAGGACCCGCCCTGCACGTATATGGGTTACAGGTATGTACGTGTGACCCAAGATGCGTACATCTCGCAGCATCTGGCGGTAAGAATTCCTTCGCAAGCCCGCATTGAGCGCGAGCTTGCCCCCAGAGGGACAAAGAGCAGTGCAAGTCGCATCAACGGGAAGCAGAGATGCGTGGCGCGTACGTATATGGATACATGCTCGCATATACATGCTCGTATACACATACAGATATCGGCGAGAAGGAGAAAAGGGCGAAGGGATGACCAACATCGAAGAGACGACAGGCAGAAACACGTGTGTGTGTCTGCATGCATTGCTCTTCTGCATCCTCGCCGATTGTGTCAGTTCCATATTCGTGTGTATTTGGAACTGGACTCTTTCTCGCCTGTTTATGCCCAATCTGTCCACTTCTGGACGGATTGATAGGTAGCCACCGGCCTGGTCCCATGCTCGTCTGAACACGCAACATGCAACATGCAACACGCAACATGCAACACGCACCACGAAGAGGGCAGAAGCAGACTGGCAGATCTGCAGAGGCGTTGCGAAAGAGGGCTATATACATATAGACGCGCAACATCACACGCACGTCGCCCCGGCTGACGGCCGGCGTGGGGTGGCCATCGGCCCTTCAGAAAAGCCCGGCGACGTGCGCATCACACTACGGCCCTACACGCATATACCCTGTCTGCTGACCGGTGCATACCCATCGGGCAGCCACAAATATGTTCTCAGCACGAACACGTAGGAACTCCACTGCCCCACGACGGGAGTGACGCGACAGGGGGCAGCCGACTAGCAAAACGCAAGCATAGAAGCTCTTTCCCTTGAAAAGTTGCAAAAGCACGAACGTACAAATCAACTACAGACCACGGATCAACACTTATCCACCCTCCGCCACACACACAGCCCCTGCTCACATCCAGCCTCACACATCTACCTACTCCGACTCACACACACACACACACACACACACATGTCACATAGACACTACTCGCTCACACACATGACACAAAGCCAAGCAACGCAACATTCATCCTAGTCACAAACACAAAACACACGCACACGGCATGCACACAGAGAGCTCAGACATACCCAGGAAAACACCAAAAGAGGGGCCGGTGAGTAGGTGAGGGGTTTAGTGTGCTGCATACGGGCCCCTCCCCCAGACGTCCTCCACGGGGAAGGGCGGATGGATGGCGTGAGGGCCTCGATCTTGCCGCGCACCGTGGCGGCATACTTAAACGTGATGGCGACCGACAGCATGATCCATCACCGCTGCATGATGCGGCCCGTCTAGATGTCCTTGTCGTCCTTATATTACGCCTCCCTCACCCCCTTGGCCAGCTTGTGTAAAAACGTTTCCATGGCCTTCGACCAGTGGCCATAGGAATTGACAGAGATCGCTGCTGCTTCCATCGCAGCAGATGCTGTCCGTACCGCTACGGCGCCAACTGGTGTGTCGGATTCAATCCTTGCGGGACGCGAATTGAGGCTTCGCCCCTAATGCGATGGGACTGCACATGGGGGGAGCCTGTCCGTAGGCTGCAGAGTGACTAGCTGGGCGCAATCAAAGTGTCCCTAGAATTGATTGAGTGTCCCCATTCCTTCCTCAGCTCCTCGTCCCTTAGATAGACCTAAGGTGTAGGCCGGACATCATCTGAAAACGTGGCGAATTAGTGCAGACATGGTACTGCGGCTCTTGTTCAGTGCTCTTTTTCAGTAATTGACGTGATGGTGGGGACTAGGTAGAGATGCAGTTGTTTCTACGCGACCTGGATGCTATGAGACCTGAGAGGACTCACGAGTCGACGACGAAATGCATGTAGCGGCACAATAGTGCGCCGACAGTGCCTTCATCTCGTGGACCCTGTGCATAATGCTGTGCTACTTCAAGCGTGACAATTCTCAAGATGCACTGTTTATGATACACTGGTTAAATAAAGACAAGGACTGTTTCGAAATGCTTATGGGATACTGCCGATTAGGAGCTCTATAAGCACTTCAGTCTACCAATGTCACCAGGAAAATTGACAGAAAACTTTTGTTATCGAACATATCATATCATTACATATTGCAGGTGCTGCATTTTGATGAAACAACGACAAAAGAATGAAAACGAGATCAGAATCCGCCGATCGGGAAGGAATGGCATGTGGGCGAACACCGTTCAACACTTCAAATCCGTCGAAAAGGACCGCTGGATTCGCATACATTAGAGGCGATACTTTCATTCTAAGCAGGCTTTTGCCGTCAGGGAGATTCCGAAAGTACTTTCCCTCGTCTTCATCCGGCATTTCATCCAAGGCGAGTCTACAGATTTCCTGACACATCAGACACAGAACAAAGCACAAACCTCTATAGACCTTGTCGTCAGACTCAGCAGCAAGTAATATTCGATTGACTTGAACCTTCAACACAATCTTTTGGGGCCATTGCTTGCAGAGAGTACGTACTCTTTGTTGATGGATCACGTGCTAGCGACAAAGAGAACAAAGATGTGCATATCCCGCTTGAAAGCGTTCCCAACAGGGAAAGCCTGAATATAGTAACATGGCATGGAACGCATTCAATTCACTTTGACTTTGAAAACTTGAAAACCATCTCTTATGCGACACTAGTGACGCCGGCTGTTCAGCGATCCATTCCGGAGACTCTGCAAAACTCCGTTGAACCCGGAAGAAATATCAGAAACACTTGATTGGCTGAGGCCCGTACAACAGGCTTTGTCACACCTTTTTGTCTTTTCTGGACGGTTTTATCATATGCACCCTTCACACAAGTGACGCCTCAATGCATCGAACTCCCAATTACAGGAAAGATTCCAACCACAGACTGACAAAACAGCGCCTGTTCGTCAGCTCTGTTCGTCAGCTTCACTAAGAGCTCAACCATACGTTGATGATGTCAAGAAATTAAGGCTTCCGCATAAGATTGCTTATGCCGTGGTTCAGAGCATCCCTGCTCCATCCGTCTCCCTCGCTTTCTTCTTTCGCTCTGCTCCCCGTGTCTTCCTCCCATCACTCACTTGATAGAAGACGAAACTCAACCGAAAAATCAGTGAGGATGCAGCAGTCCAAGGCAATCCGCATCCGTCCTCCTAAAACACAAACCAATGGAGCAGACTGAGAAGCAACCATTTACGAATAGACCCACAGGAGAAGAAGGAGCTTCGCAGCTATCTTTAGAAGCTGAATGTCTAAGACACATCTCTAGATTCAAGTATCGACTCAAGTATAAAGTCAGTCAAACTCGAAACACTGCGTAGACGCCCGAATTATCGGACGCCTTCAGCGTGTTTGCTACTATCGAGAAGCCTTGAGTTCTTGACATCATCAACGTATGGTTGAGCTCTTAGTGAAGCTGACGAACAGGCGCTGTTTTGTCAGTCTGTGGTTGGAATCTTTCCTGTAATTGGGAGTTCGATGTGCAGGTGTGCGCACAGAGACATTCATCGTATACACACACTCATGCGCAGGTGTGCGCACAGAGACATTCATAATATACACACACTCTAAGCCGATGCGTGCATGTGTAGGTGTGCGCACAGAGACATTCATTGTATAGACACACTCCAAGTCCAGACGTGCATGGTGGGTCTTCTTGTCGTGTGCAGTCAGGCGTGAGTGTGCTCTTACGGTGCGCGGCAAGAGTGAGGCCGCCACACCATTCATCCGCCCCTTCCCCAGAGACGAGGTCTGGGGGAGGGGCCCATATTCACCCCACTAGGTCTTTTCCTCGCCACACTGTGCCTTCCATGGGCCTGTATGTGTGTGTGTGTGTGTGTGTGTGTGAGGGCGTATGTGTGTTGGGGTGTGAGTGGGTATGGGTGTGGGTATGCGGGTAAGGTATTGGTATTCGTGTGTGTGTGTGTGTGTGTGTGTGGGTGTGTGGGTGTGGGTGTGGGTGTGCGTGTGTGGGTGTGCGAGTGTGGGTGTGCGTGTGTGTAGGGATGTGAGTGCGGGTCTGGGCGTGGTCTGTGTGTGTGTCTGGCCGCCCTTCTGCTTTTCCCTCCGGTGATCTCTGTCTGGGTGTGCCATGAGGGTGTCTACGGGTCGGCCGCCTGCCGCCCCTCTCCGCCGTGGAGACCGGGGCGGCGGTGCGGTCGACTTGCAGAGAACCCCAGCACCCCGTGCGTGGTTGTTATAGGGGCGTGTTTGCGTGTGACTGGTCGATTTGCACTAGCTGGCCACCTGGGGATGGGCGCTACGTACGTATCGAGTCATGGTGCACCACGCGCGCACGCACGCCGCCTTCAGGTTGCTGGGGTGGCGCGTG